TCTCGCGCGGGGTCAGTAAGCGTCAGACTCGACTGGACAGCAGCCAACAGGAGCATGGCCTCTATCTCCAACAGTGACCACCAAAAATGTGTCCAGACACGGCCACAGGTACCCTGGGGAGCAAAGGGATTGAGGCCCTGGTCACCGAGGTCTCAGGCCAGTCGTGGATGGACACCCCAAAAGCCAAGGCCAACCGCACTAAGGGATGAGCATTTGTGGGGCGTGATGTGAGACACAGCATACACTTTCTACTGCCCATTTGCTCGTGTGACCTTCCAATGCTCCCAGTGGCCTCTGTCCAGGTGGCCTGAGCCCCTGCCACCACCCAGGTCCCTTCTACGCACTGCAGCCCCTCCCCCACTGTCCCCACCTCCTGTGTCCTCTGACATCACCTGCCTGATCCTTCAGCTCTAAGTTACAGGTCATTTCCCAGGGAAGCCGACTGCACACCTGAAGGTGTTTCACCTCTATATGCAGCCCGGGCTCCCCAACTCGGCCGCTGACTTGGTCTCCCCACCAGACCAACGAGAGAGCACAACAGCAGCGTGAGGACAGGGCTGTCCTTCCAGTGCCAGCTCGGAACCTGGCACGGCGCTGGCTACTGCGAAGATGCTGGCTCCCTATCGGCCTAGGAGGTGGGGCCAGGGGACACCAAGAGGGTGGGAGGCTGGCAGGCCGAGGAAGAGCAAACCCCTCTGAGCTGTCCACCACCCATGACCCCCCTCCTGAGTGTCTCTAATCACAGGGACATGAGCTGACCCCGGGTCCAGCCCGCTGCTGTCCCTGGTCTGTCACCGAGTCTCGACCTCACCCGGCTGTGACCCCGACAAGGGCAAGCTCTCTGGTCAGGTCTTCACTGAGCACTGCACCCAGGGCCCTCCCTGTCTGACCTCCATCCCTCAGTGACAGGTGGGCTGCCACACGTCGCCACCTGCTTTTCTGTCCAGCTCTCAAACGCCCCACTTTGCTCGTCTGTCCAAAGGTCTGTCTCACCCACCCAGCCGACGTCGTACTCCAAGCAGACAGGGCTGGCCTGTCCCGGACACCCAGCCAGGCCGCAGGAGGGACAGGAACGAGACCAGTCTTTCCTGAACACCTGTCGCTTCAAGCACCCCACCATACGATCCCAGTGTGTCCGAGGTCCCAGTGCATGTGCCGGCAGCAGGCCACAGGGCACACGGCGCTCTCAGCGCGAGCAGAGTGTCCCCCAAGCTACTATGTGACCTGTTCGTGGAGACAGGTCCACACACTGGGATCCACAGCAATGCCAAATGGCTGAGCGTGAGCTTCCCAAAATTCTCCAAAATGTTCCTGTCCCTGCTGGCTGCTGTCATGTTAGCGGAGTCATGGCAACCCCACATGGAAGAGAACGCAGTGTGGCCCGCGCCAGGCCTGATCTGCACACACCATAGAGAGAAGTCTGTGTGGCCTGCTCCAGCCCTGATCTGCACACACCAGACACAGAAGAGAGCTGTGTCGCCTGCGCAACCATGATCAGTGCACACCAGACACAGAAGAGAGCTCTGTGTCGCCTGCGCAACCATGATCAGTGCACACCAGACACAGAAGAGAGCTCTGTGTCGCCTGCGCAACCATGATCAGTGCACACCAGACTGCTGTGGGCCAGGGTTCTCACTGGCTGACGTTCAGAAGACTGCCAGGCCTCTCTTCCTACTCCATCTCCAGTCTGGAAGCTCCACTGACTCACCACCACACAAGCCCCCAGTCACAGACAGGTGAGGGCTTTCCAGGAGGTACAGTGGTCAGGAACCCAGCCTGGGTCAGGCCTATTGCATGTATGGGGAGGTTTCAATCACTGCACCCCTCATCTCACACGTTTTCAACTACGATTTCCAGAATCTAGGAGGTAAAGGCAGGCCCCCACCTGGCCCTGGCAGCATGTGGGGTACTACAGGGCAGAGTTCTCACTGTCTTTCTGGATGGCCAGTGAGTCATGAGGGTCTTTCATGGTCACAGGCAGGACACATCCCCCCTCAGTGTGGAGAGGGTGGGGAGGGCCTCAGCCTGTGCTCACAGGACCAATGCTGCCCTAAGTGCCAGCACGGCCAGAAAGCCCTCCCTCATGTGCTGGGGTCCCTGACTCTCCTGGGACTTCCCTCAGTGTAGTGCAAACACTGATCACTGAGCCCATTTCTGGGGCCCCCTCCCCCAGGACTGTTTCTGGATGGCTGCCATCCCCCGAGCTTTCAACTCTGAGAATTTCCTTTCCAAGGTGTGACAATAGGAAGTGATGAAAAAACCAGAAGTGGCCTTTCTCCAAGCTGAGGGCTGGCCTGGCACAGCGGCTTCTAAGCCAACAGAGCGAAGAGGGGGTGGCTCCATCATCAGAGCAGGTGGGGTGCCCTGCGGAGGCTGGTTACCCCCGAAGGGAGCAAGGAAGTGGCTTGAAAGCCAATCACCAGGCCCTCTGAGCAGGTGCACAGGCTTACTCCTGCTTTCCTGCGAGTCTCAGTCATTTCATCTGGGCTTCACAGCTTTGACATGGAACAACCCACAGCTGCTGGTCAATCCCGACCCCTGGTCACCCTGCAATTTCAAAGCTGGAAATCTCAGCAGATGGAGAGGGCCTATCCTTCCTCAGAGAAGCCAGTGGGTTTGAATTGCCTAACCTTTGACCCACTCTACCACCAGGGCTCGTGGTAAAGGAGAAACCCTCACTGTAGATGGTGGGAGGGCCTAAGTGGACCCCAAGGACCTGATTACTGGGTCCTAGTCCTCCCACACCTGAAGGACCAGACACTGGATCCCACACCTGAAGGCCCAGCCGTGTAAACAGGCCCCACCGTTTCACATACCCACGCAGCAAAATCTTTAAGGGGCTCTTATCCCCTCAATAAGGAAGCTCTGGTGGCCCAGTGTTAAGAAGCTGCACTGCAATCCCAAAGGCACACGGTTCAAATCCACCGCTCCTCAGCGGAAGGGTGGGTGATCTCCTCTGCAACTAACTGCCTCTGAAAACCTGCCAGAGGGTCAGCTATGGGTCAGTTCCGACTGGACGGTACACAACAACATCTCTTCAATGTGCACAGCTTTCAGGGTCTTTGAATCCACACAGCTGAGCACCTACTATGTGCCAGTCACTGTCCCAGGAGGACAAAGTACTGGATGGAGCCAGTCGGGGCTGCCCTCGGTCGGGGCTGCCCTCTCGGAACATGGGTCTGGTTGGAAAGGTGGACATACCCGCAGGCTGCCTGGGCGACTGCTAGTGAGCCTCATGTTTACTGTCCACACTGAGGGGCAGAGACCAGGGAAAAGGTGACATCCAAACAGGACCTCCCACATCTGAGGTGAGACACATTCACCAGCCCTGTGGGGACTCTGCGGACGGGAGGCTCTGGGAAGGTTAAAAAGGAGCCAGCGATTAGGGCAGGGCTTGTAACCAGTTCATTCTGGTCTCCTTCCTGCTGAGACAGACTTCCCAGCAAAGTCAATCAATCTCTCATTAAGATCCCAGGTGATTGTTAGACACCCCAGGTGCTGCTCCAGCGAATCACCTTACGACCTCTTTAACAGGTACCTCACAATTCAGTTTACCCTACAGGTGGGGGGACACACAGCCTCAAGCAAGGGGCCCAACCAGAAAGCAGCAGTTTGAGGCCCTGAAATGCCACTCCTTGAGGGGACTGGGGGTGCGGGGAAGGAGAAGGCAGTCAGGGTCACTCAGCAATAATCCAGGAGGGGGAGGTCATGGGAACCTCACCTCCAGACTTCAGGTCCTTAAACTCCCATCCCAGGCAAAGCCGCCTCCGTTCATAGCAGGCAGGGTGGAGCTGTCCAGGAATTCCTGGGACTCTGAACGGTCAGCACACTCACAAGTTCACACCAGTTTACCCCCCTCAGATGAGGGGGTCCCAGGCAGACCATGCAAAGGGCAGTAAAAGTGGCCAAGCAAAGCTCCATCCTCCCAGAAAGGGACAGGATGGAGGGACAGGAGGCCAGAAAAGAGGGCCACAGCCTCTTATTAGACAGATAAGGAAACTGAGGCTGGTTAGACCCTTCACCCTCTAACTCTGTGGAGCCGAGAGGCCCCAGTTTCTGCGTAGACACCCCAATCTGTGACGTGGCACCCCTAGAGAGCATCGCTGAGTCATCAGGGGATCCAGCTGTGCTATAGGAACCCCCCCATACACACCGCGCCAGACTGGAAAACATCGCCAGCTAGCAGCCCTGCCCCTCCAGTTTGGATGCCCTCCACCACGTGGGCTGGGGAAAGGACAAACCACATTTAAGGGTGCAATTATGGAACCCAGGGAGGCCGAGAAGTGGCCATTTCAGGAATGAGAGAGGAAGAGGCAGCGTGTGCAAGGAATTCCCATGGAGCAGCTCTGCAAGTGGTCAGCCCTGGCACAGGATGCCCGCTGAGGGCGATTCAGGGGAGCAAACTGGCTCCTGTGTCTGCACTGGGCCTCCTTCGGCTGAAAGCCTGGGGGCTCCGCCCAGCTGGGCCACCCTGGGAGACCTAGGGCCTCAAGAATGACTACAAGCTGATGGCCATTTACCAAGTGCCCAGCGAGTGCCAGGCACCGGCTGGGCTCAGGGGACATCACACTCAACGCTGCACGGGCAGCCAGAGGAAGTGGGGGCGATGATGATCTCGGCTTGTGACAAGAGGAAACTGGGGGTTCAGACAGGATCACGTCCACACTCACTCCAAAGTCTCGCAGCAACTGGTGGGGTACGCCTGGCCTATCCAATCCAGAGCCCTGCAGCCCTTTTTAAATTCAGCAAGAGCCCACTCATTGGTGTCTCAGTCTCCCCACGATGGGAAAATAAGATGGGGTGCAATACAGCCAGCCCGCAGGGGCGGCGGGATTGGGGGGGGTCCTTCCGGGCGGAGGGGGGCGTGGCACCCTCACCCCACTCACCCGCAGGCCCCACGCCCCAAAGGGAGAGGGAAGGGGAATGCAGCCCCCCACCCTGGGCGGGCAGCGCGCGGCAAGGGCACCCCCAGATCTGGGGCTGGGGAGGGGACCACTCACGTCGATGTTCCTCAGGATGACGCACTTGCCATTGGTGTAGAGGAAATTGCTGCCCTTCGGGTCGCCGCCCAGGATTTTGGAGACGCCCCTCTCCACCTGGGGGAGGCTGGCGAACACTTTCTCTGCGGAGACACAAACGCCAAGGCCACTTGGGGGTGCGGCCCCGGGGAGGGGGGCACAGGGGGCAGGGGACCCCGCTCGGCCGATCACCTGTTGCCTCCACCGGGCGGGGCGATCGCCACTTGGAAGCCGCGCGGGGATCGCGCCACTTCCTGGCGGGCGCGGGGCCTCCGGGAATCGGGGTGCCGGCGGGCCGGCCGCGCGGCGCCCAACTTCGGGGAGTCCCCCCACCCCCAGGCTCGGGGTAGAGGGGGATCGCCGCGGGGGGGGCTGCAGGGCGCGCCTCCGGCCCGGCCGCCCTCTCCCCGCGCCCGCGCGCCCCGCCGATGGCGCAGGGGTCCCCCCCTCCCCGGGGTCCCAGCGCGCACTCACTGATCTCGTATGGCATCGTCGCCCACTTGTTACCGCTGCGCTCGCCGCAAGCCCCGGCCGCTCAGCTCGGTCCCCCCACTGCAACTCACACTGGCCAAGTCCAGGCCGCGCACGGGGACTGGCCGGAGGGCGGCGCCGGACGTGCCGGGCGGGCTGGGGGCGGTCGCCGGGGCTCCGACCGGCTCGCGCCCTGCCCTGCGCGCTGCCGCTGCGGACGCCCCGAACCCGGAAGCGCGGCCCCGTGCGCGGCTCGCCCCCAGCTTTGACCATATATAGTCAAGCGCTCAGCTCAGCGGCTGCGGCCGCCGTGCGCCTGCGCGGAGCCGGCCCGCCCCTCCCCGGAGGGCCGGGTCCTGGGGGCCGCCCCGGAAGTGACGTCAGGGAGCGGGCCCGCAGAGCCGTGAAAAGGCGGCGCGGCCCGCTCTCCGCTTCAGAACGGGCTTCCAGGAGGATGTGGGTGGTTGGTTTTTCAGTAGTTCCGCGGTCGCTGTGGGGAAATTCTCTTTTCTGGTGAAGTGTTTTCTTCGAAGGTGCTGAAAGTAGCGGCGGGGGTCTGCTGCCATGGAGAAACTCTTGTTTTGGGGGGAAAGTTTTCAGTGCTTGGAGGGTGTTGGGAAGCACGGGAGGGGGTCGGACGCCATGGAGAAACTTGTTTTCTAGGGAAAACTTTCAGTGCTTGGAGGGTGTTGGGAAGCACGGGAGGGGGTCGGACGCCATGGAGAAACTTGTTTTCTAGGGAAAACTTTCAGTGCTTGGAGGGTGTTGGGAACACGGGCGGGGTTCCGAGTGCGGCTGGGCCTGGTGGGAATTTTTTGGTGACTGGGTTTAAAGCGCAGAATTCGCAGCTGGAATTCTTGAACTGCCCGCTTTCTGCGTCCTCTGCGCTCTGGTGGTCGCTGCAGCGCCCTTGGCTTTGCAAACACAAGAAGCCAGCTCTTGGATTTTTATATTTGTAGACCATAGTCTAGCCGGTAGTGGCCCTCTCGTAATGGCTTGTTGGGATCCTGTTTACAGGGCCCAGGCGCTCTCAGGACTTTAAATATCGCAATAAAAAACTCCCCAAGTGTGTAGATTCTGGGGATACTAAGGCCAGTTTCCCGCAAAAAAAAAAAACAAAACAAAACAAAAAACACACCACAAAACGTGGGAACAGGGGAAGGAAACTTGGTTAAAAAAAAAAAAAAATCCGCGGCTCGGGACAGAAGCACCAACACCGACGGGCCCCGGGGAGGAAAGGGGCGGTGGGTCAGGGTGTGGGATTCGCTTTGGGGAAAACCTCGGGTTCCAGGAAAGTGCTGGAAACACGGGCGAGGTTTGGGGTGCGGGCGGGCCTAGTGGGTTTTTTTTGTGGACCAGGGTCCCATATTCTTACTTCGAGGGAAGGGGTGAATTAAAGAAATGGGAAATAACCTGGCGTGAAAAACATGAACGAACTTTTAAGTAAACCGCTTAAGGTCGCCGAAGAAGGACAGAACCAAGTGCAGGCCAAGGAAGACAGTTTGAGGGGAGACTGCCGGGCTGGCTCTGGAGCAGACCAGCCCCCACTAAGTTGGGGAAGGAGATTCTTCCTTCAAGATAGGAAAGTGGGCTGGGGTCTCATAACTAGTCCTGCGGAAAAAAGGGGGTATAGGGTATTTTCAGAGAAAAAACACAGCTGCTGTTTCCTGTGATTGGATTCTCAGTGGCTATTCTAGGAAAGAAAGGGCTCTGCAGACCTAGTAAACCAATATAAAAGAATTTATATATATATTTTTTTAAAGTTACTAATTGCCACTATTTGGCCAACTCTGCTCTAATACATAATATCTCTCTGACTTGGTAAAAACCCCTTTGACTTTGAAAAACTTACGGAATTAGGTCTTCCCCCTCAAAAGAAGACGGCAACCTAACCTGGGGAGTAGCTCTTGCGGTTTTTTGGGATGCTACTCAAAAGAGCCCAATCGTTCTCAGAACTTTCTTTTAGGAAACTATGAGACCATTAAAAAGATAGAGGGTCTGCATAAACAAATCAATTTCCTGAGGGGGGGGGAGGGATAAACTTAGACGGAAAGCAGGGTTCTGTCTCTTAAAAAACAACTGTATGGGGCAAAGATTGAAATGGACAAAGCAGTTAGCGGTTGGCTTATAAAAAAATAACTCTGGGGGGGGTGGGCGTGTGAGACTGGAATGAGAAATATTTAAATTTTACTAGGGCTTCTAATTTCTTGAGCTGTCTTTTGCCAGTTTCCTCTGCCGGGATAAGAAACCTCTTAAGATTTTAGAGGCAAAATACTGGTCTCCTTGAGGATATTGTGAAGTTGTCATTTGTTAATGTTAATCTTCCTCTGTCAGTTGCCATAGTAATTTTTGCTTAAGGACATAGTAAGTATGTACTACAGGGTTTGGAGAAACTTGTTTGATACTTCCATAAGTTGTGCTTCTAAACCTGGGCCAGCAATTCTATTGGAAGAGGGGGCAAGAAAACTTGGGGGGTTGTCCTGTTTGAACATAGGGTGGGGGAGGGTCATCTCTTTCTGGGTTGAGTGAAGAGGGCTAGTTAGAGAATATAAGGCACCTGTGGGTAACTCAGATATTTAAAATGTAAGCTGGAGATTGTTGAAACTTGCAAAATCCAACTGCTGAGTTCTCTATAGCTGGTGACTGAGCAGCCAATCTGAACCCTGCCCTGTCCTCAGCCCTGCTCCCTCTCCTATGGTTAATCACTGCCAGTCCACCTGGGTAGTCCTTCCTAATAACACGCCCACAGGGTAGGAGATGAGTTTTCTTCTCCTTAATCACCTCTAAAGAGTACCTCACCTGGTGGTGTCCTTAACATGGCTGTGCCCACCCCAGACCCTCATCTCTGGTGGCTTACCGGGGTTCTTGACCTCCTACCCCTCATCTTCCAGCTGTGTTCTCACAAGCAACCTAATTAAGAATTTGAAGTCAAATCTGGTGACTTCTTATCTTAAATTTTATAAAAATCTACTGCTGGGAAGTCCTTGCCAATTCAAGGTTCTTGGGGGTAGAAAAGAAACAAGGCTTCTGAGGTTTTTAGGCAGCATATGGCTATGTCTTGTGAAAGGTAGATGGGTTCCTTTCAATTTGACTCCACCCCAAGTGCTGTCATCAGGGGACACTTTAAACCCCACCAAACCCCAGGTGCTGTTAGCAAGTTAATTCTGACTCAAGAAAACTTACCTATGGTTTTCAGAGTATTAAACCTTCAGAGAAGATCCAGCCTCTTCCCAGCTGGTGGGTTCAAACTGCTGACCTTCCCATTAGCAGCGTGGCATAGTATCTTATCCACTAGGCCACCAGGGCTCTTTTTAAACCTTAAAATGGCTCCTACTCAGAGTAAGGTCCTCTGGGATTGCAGTGCAGCTTTCCACTAGGCCACCAGAGCTCACTTGAGTTAAGTGCCTTCGAGTCTTAGGTGACTCGTACTGACCCTGTGATTGAAAGTCCTCAGCACTTGTGTGACTTTCTCCAGTTTCATAGGGTTTCCGAAGGCAAGCCATTAGGGAAGGGGATGCCACTTCTGCTTCCATGTTTGTTTTAATTGGGGAACTCCACTAAACGCTGTCCACCATGAGTGACCATTAACGCATTTGACACATGACCCTTTCTCTGGTGGTTTTTCAGGGGTGGTTCATTGCACAGGAAGAGATTTGCCCATCCTTCTCCCACGGAGCAGCTGGTATTCTTGGAACTGTGAGCCTTTAGAATTGCAG